GAGGGTTTTGAGGGTGGAGATGCGACAGGTCCCATCGGAATATCTCATAGAGCATTCAGCAGCTTTCCCGGGATTCCTTTCCCCGCAGGGGGGTGTTCGCCCACGCAGCTGGTCCTGCCGTCACCCGTCACCCGTCAGCTGGCTTTGTTGCTATGGGGCCTGGAGCTGAACTACAACTGAGGCCTAGACGTCCTATCTCCAGAGAGAAAAGGTCAGGGGGTCCAAGCCAGCGATGTGCGAGGGGAGGGAAAGGCACCTGGGGGAGAGGGCCCCCCGACAACTGTCCTTTGCTAGACACCTGGCGCTTTCCATCCTGGTGACCCGTGGTCCTTGCTCTGCCGCCAACACCAGGGCTTTGAAGAGTGAGGGGAGTGGGAGAGAGGAGCCCGCAGCCCAGCAGAATTCTACGGGCGGGCACGAGGAGCTGTAATCTCCGCTTCCCGCCCAGCCCCTCCTCCTGGCTCCTCCTTCCAGGAGCACCCTTCCCCTTTCTCCTCCTCCAGGGAGCCTTCCTGGCCCGAGCAGTGCCCCTTCCATTTTTGGGGTCTCACAGACGCTATGCTCCATCCACCCAGCAGAGTTCATTCTGGGTAACTGACCCCTTCCCCCGTTCCTAGGACTCTGCCTCCACGCTGAGCGCTGAGCACGTGGTGACAGAGGCAGAAGGAGCACCTGTGTGGCCACACCCAGGGCCCGGGGAACCGTACCTGGGGTCAGGTAACCAGAATCGGCCGGAAATGAGTGCGCAAGCTTGGAAAATCACCGCATGGCTCCCGTGTTCCGCAGGCACCGTGTCTAAAGGTAGTCAGGCAGGGGCAGGGCAAAACCGAATGAAACGTCCTCCGCCTGGAGCAGAGACGTGGGCGGGAAGGGGAGAGAGAGAAGCATGGATGGAGACACACAGACTGGTTGCCTCCCGCACGGGACCCTGGCCAGCCCTTGACCTGGAATCGAACCCGCGACCCTTTTGCGTGCAGGCTGACGCTCTCACCACTGAGTCATGCCAGCCAGGGCGAGACACGGGTTCCTGGGACCTGTATCCACCTCCAGACACTTAGTCACCCCGTCCTCCCCTTCGCGGGTGGAGGGCCGCAGTTAACAGTTGGCTCTCTGCTGCCACCGTGTGGCCACACTGCTGGCTGCCCCAGGCCAGCGTCTCGCCTACAGCTGGGTCACCCGGCAGCAGGTGTCGGCAGGAGCGCCTGTCCCCACCCAGCTGCACAGGCCGAGGCAGGCACGCCCTGCGGGAAGCCAGCTCAGGGGC